GTTGTTCTTGTGGTCTTGGGATGTGTTCCCGTGTTGTTCGTTGAGAGTGTTGAGTCTCATGTTGGCTTTGACTCTTGGTTTTACACTTATATATATGTATTCCGTTTCGAAAATGGTTTGACAACTTATATCTTACCTATGTATGTTATTTCACATGTATTGGTGGGTTACCAGCATTATTCGCTGACCGGGCGTCGTCCCATGTTTATTTGTGTTCTTTCAGGTGATGTCTAGACGAGAGCGGAGTCTAGTGCCCGATAGTTTAGTACCTTTCCTTTGCTTTACGGCCTGTGAGCCGATGTAGTGATAGACTCATGAGGTTTTGGGATAGTTGTGAACCATGCAGACTTTGCCGTAGCGTTTATCGTTGTTGGTAAACGTAGCGTGACACCCCATGTTTTGGACTTTCATTTATCCAGTTACCTTTTATCTTCCGTTGTGCTAGTGTTTTGTTGTGATATCTGCATGTGTTAAGGCTTTTTATATAGCATGTTTTGGGGGGGGTGTTACAAGAGGAGTATCTAGCCTATTTTTCATCTTCTCCTCGACTATATTAATAATAGGCTCATAATTTTTTCAACTTCATTGAACGCCTTCTTAATGTCTTCTTTGGCCTGCATAAGCTCACCATAAACAAATCGCATTGAAGGTTTCTTATCCTGATAAACAATACGAAGCACCTTCACCAACGGTGCAAACACCTTCAAGCATAATGCAACCCTTGCCAAAATGCATGACTCAAGATAGTAAAATAGGCATGTTTCCCTTTAACTGTTTTCGCAAACTTACATTCATCCCATTCATTGCTTGTAAACAAAGTCTTTAATTCTATTTTCTTACCAGCTAAACTCTGCAAAGTAAGAAATGCAGAAGCAAACCTAGTCACACCTGACATAACTATGTCACACTTCTTTGTAAAGGATCTCATCATTGCCGAAGTTTTATGGTGTGCATAAATGAAGATAGTCAAACTCCTTGCTTGATCAAGAACTTTTTTAAACTGTGGTAAACCTACAAGGCATTCAAGTATAAAAAATTTAAAGATTTATCATTAGTCTATTAAAGATTTAAAGTTAAAGAATAAAGATTTCACATTGATTTCACACTTGCACATACCTGCAATGTTTTCAAGCATTAAATGAATGGAATGAGTTGCACAACAAGTCCAAATATCAATGGCCTCTTCTCCTTCAACAATTTAGCCCCAAGTTGTTCGAGGCATTATCTGTGACAATTTGAACAACATTCTCCTCTCTAACTTGTTGAATGTCATGCTCCACATACTCAAATATAAACTGACTTGTGTGTGCCTCACTCGAACATTCTTTATAAGATTTAAAAAAAAAAAAAAAAAAACAGTGCCCAAATTTGAATTGACACACAAGTTCATGATGCTTCTTTTCTTCCAATCTGTCCATGCATCGGTCATAATTGAGCAACCATTTAGTTTCCACTCTGCTTCATGCACCTTCAAACTGTCTCGGACTCGATCAACCCCTTTTTTCAAATATGTTTCACTCATTTCATATCTATTTGGTCCATGAGCTCCCGGACCATATTGGCCAATAACTTCAATCATCAACTTGAAGTTATCTATCTCAAAAGCATGAAATGGAATATCTGCTTCATAAGCACATCTGCATATGTACTCTTTCACCCGGTTAACCATTTCCTTGTCAAAGGCCTCAATTATCCGATGTTGCGCCTTGCCCTTTCTTGAACTCAAAGAACTTTAAGGATTGATTTGGTTTGCAAACTTATCCATATGGCAATTGGACCAAGTGGCTTCAAATGTCCAAACTATTGCAAGTCTTGCAACTCATCAACATCTATAGTATTAGTATTACTCATACTTTCATGCACATCAATCTTTACCTCTATTCTTAGATTAACTTCTTCAGCTCTCTTGTTCTTCTTTTTGTTCTTTGCCATCATGAGAGCTTCCTTACACTTTAATTGATCTTTATTTGAAGCTTTGGGGAATTTGCTAACATTTTCTTGTATGCCAGTAATATGCTCTTTAATCCGATAAACTCCTAACATTGTCCATTGACTTATGAGGATTATGAATTATCCCATAGTCCTAACCTATATCGTTGGACTTTCTTTTTATTGTAGATTGTTGAGAAGATCCAACACTTTAACTTTGAGCTTGAGAAGTATTATTATCGTCACTTGCCATACCTAAAGGCTAAAGCAAAATAACTCAAACACTACCTCAAGATTCAAGAACACTTGAGTCAAGTGTCAAGATTCAAGAACCAATTCAACATCACAATTATATATACACAATACTTATTTTAGTTATATAGTACCAAACTACCAATGTACCATACATTTCAATTTCAATCAATGTTAAACAATACCATACTTAATTGAGTTAATTCTATTAATCTATTAATTATTAAACAATGTAGTACCAATGTACCATACAAAATATATACAAATTCAAATGCAAATTTACAATACAAATTGACTAATTACTTAATAATTAATATAAATTCACAAATTCACATTTCACATTTCACAATACAATACAATACAAATTGACTAATTACAATGTTCACAACACAAATTTCACAATATAATAATCATGTTCACAAATTCAAATTCTAATTTACGATACAAATTGACTAATTACTTAATAGTCAATATAAGTTCACAAATTTACATTTCACAATACAAAATAGCCACAAAAAAAAAAAAAAAAAAAAAACCAACACCTAAGTTGAAAAATCAAAATGAAACTAAATAAGTAAATACAAATAAAATAAATAAGTTACTAACAGTATGTAGCATACCTGAGGTGAGTCGGCGTTAGGCGGAGGCGGAGGCAGAGGAGATCGGGTGTCGGGCGTTGGCTTCGCGACTGCAGATTGTAGAGGGCGGAAGGGTTTGGTCTGAAGTTCTGAACTGAAGTCGCGAAATACTTTTTTATTGGGTTATTCTTGCCAAAAACAACGTCGTTTTGGTGAATAACCTTAAAAAAATCGATTTGCAATGGTTCGACTGACTAGGCGCCCGACTGTGGAGGAGGCCAATTCCGACCTTTCTTGACGCGGTCGAACGCAGCCTAGCGCCTAAACACGATTTTGCAACATTGCACGTGAGTCCTAAATATACAAATATACAATTTTAAATTTTGTATTTTTTTAAAAATTGAAATGTTTTAACAAGAACCACTAACCATTATTCGATAGCTAGTGAAGAAGATAGTCATATCTCATAACTGTCTATATTTGAACCTCAAACTTTGTTTGTTGACAAATCGCCAATAACTATCTATCAATTGAAATAGCCCCCGCCCACAAAGTAAGATGTTGGGATTTTCTATTTTAACAAATTAAAATGTTAAAAAGAAAAAGTAACACTTAGGATCTATGTAAAGTTACTATCTAACTGAACTATTTTAGTTATTCCCGGTATATTAGTGTTCAAAGTTTCAAACTTATGACCTCTCATTTAGGAGAGTCATTTAATACCACTAAATCATAATATTATTTGGCAGCGATAATGTATTTAATAAGCATTTAATTAATAATATACTCTTAAAGTTCTCTTAGACAAAATTTAACTAGAAGGAAAAAAAAAATCGTAATGTAAAGCTAGATATTAAATAGTTTAAATCAAAATTGTAATCACAATTTTTTAAAACGTATTGACTATAAAAAAAAAAAAAGTCATTTTCTTTCAACTATTGATTTATTTCAAACTAAGTTTTCATTTTTCTCGAATTCTCTAAATTTATACCAAATATATACAAAATATTCTCACATGCAGATGATAAATTATTAAATTTGGTGAACGTACCAACTCATTTAGAGGGCGTTTGGTTGGAAGGAAGGAATTTGAGGAGAAAATTAATAGTAATTCGGTAGAAAAAGAATAAGGTGGAATAAAGTAGGAATTCAAATTACATTGTTTAGTAGGGAGGAATAGAATTATTAAGAATGAGAAGGGAAGAATTGATATAAAGATTAAAATGTCCTTGTAATAATAATGCGAATAATAATCAAAGATAAAAAAAAATAATTTTCCTCAATTTTCTCTTTCATTTTCCCATTGAATTGCAATTCATATGGGGGAGGATATGAATTACAATTCAACAATATGAGGAATTGCAATTCCCTCCAACCAAACACTCCAACAAAATGAGGAATTGCAATTGTTTTTGTTTTTGTTGTTGTTTTTTTGTTTTTTTTTTTGTTTTTTTTTTGAGTTTAAAGGTGTGTGTGTATATAATAAAATAATAAGAAATAAAATAGATTTTACCGTCAACACTAAAATAAAGAATATCAAAATCGAAGCATAAATATAACAGGGCATTTGGTTGAAAAGAGGAAATTATGTGAAAAATGAAATATACTTTTGTGAGAAAATAATAAAATGTAAATTTAAATTACATTACTTGGTAAAAAAAATATAATGATTAAGAATTAAAAGGGAAGAAGTGAATAAAAAGTAAAATGTCCTTATATAATAATAATAATAATAATAATAATAATAATAATAAGGATAAAAATGTAATTTAAATTGAATTACAATTCTATGGTTGGAAGGAATTGTAATTCACTCCAACCAAATTATAGAATTGCAATTTCATGGAGTTTGGTAGGAATGGAATTATAATTCCATCATACCAAAAACCATGTAAAAGTTTTACTATTATAATGACAAATTTAAAAGTAAAAATTTCATAAATTATTTACACTTGAATACTTCAAAGAAAATTCGGAAAAAAGTTTTCCTCAGGTTTAAAATTTCAAAAATTTCAAAAAAAAAAAAGAAAAAAAGACAAGAAAGGAAAAAAATAAAATAAAATAAAGGGAATCCTTAAAAAATGCCACCCTGTCCGCCTCAAGGAACATCCATCCAGTCATCCCTCCCACTAAGCCACTTCGTCAAAACTCCGCCTGGGCCCACCTCCCGCTTTTCCCTCCCTTCCTTTGGGTCCCACACCCTCCTTTATTACCACCACCGCTATCTTCTCCTTCACAACACAACACTCTGCAAATCTTCTCTCTCTCTCTCTCTCTCTCTCTCTCTCTCTCAGAGATGGCTGTTAAAGAACCGGAGTTCTTGCTGCCGCCGGAGTTTCTCACCGCCGACGATGTTCTCGCCGGTTTTTGTTACCCCAGCACCTTTGAGAAAACCGCGGTGAAGACGAAGACGAAGCCCGACCCTGACCTCTGCTTCCCGGCGGAGTTCCCGTACGATCTCTGCTCTTCCCCGGCGGCGTCTACCGGGACGGAAAGCGACGAGGAGGAGTTCCTCGCTGAGTTGACTCGCCGCTTAACTCGCTCCTCTCTCGACGACACTCTCAAGTCCACCTCCCCTGCTCAAAATCACTTCGAGGTATTATATTCTGCATTGCATTCATGGAATGATTTTATTTTATTTTATTTTATTTGTTTTTGTTTTTTACTGAGTTTTTGGTTGAAACTATGAAGAGTTGGCTTCTGTGTGGTTCGCCCCAATCGACTCTGGGCCGAATGGGGAGTATGAGTGCCGGGTCGGGTTCACCGAACGGGTCATCTCAGATATCCTCTCCGACTACCCCACTTGCTGCGAAGAGCGACGCCTGGGATCTGATACTTCAGGCCGCCGCCGGTCAGGTTGCGAGGCTGAAAATGAGGGCCCGAGAACAACTTCCGGGGACTCCAACTTTCGCTCCGCTTCCCCCTCACGCCGCCTTGCAAAATGTTAGGGTAAGCCATTTTCCGGCGCTGCTTTTTGTCCATTTCTTCTCCCAATTTTTACAGACTTTTAATTTGACCTAATTTCGACAGTTACACAAACCGCCGGTGGGGGCTCAAATGGTGAAGCAGGGCTGCGGCGGCGCTATGTGGGATAACGGATGCTACATTGAACCACCGCTCTTCCAGGCTCGAGCCTCTCGCGCCGCCTTGCACGGCGGCGCTGTGCCGTTTGTGGAAAATGGAAGGTACGGCAGGCCGTTGGTGGGCGGCGCCGCGGGCCACGCAGCCGCCTTGCGCTCCCTGCATTTTCAGCATCAAACTCAGTCCGGTCGGCCTGCTATGCCTTTCGGTGGTTCCGGCGCCGGCGGAGTGAAAAAGGAGCGCTCCGGCACCGGTGTTTTTCTCCCAAGAAAATATGGCAATAACACCAAACCCATAGATTCTGGGAACAAAACAGGTATTCAAACATTCTCTATTACTTTGTTTCTTTTTAAATTTCCCCAAATTAATATATCTCTATCCGAGTCATAAACATTAAACTCAACGGGTTAGGCCGAGTCATTGTTTTCAAACTCAGTAGCTCTGATAAAGCTCTTGTTACAGCAGATAAAGCAAAAGAACCTGCTTTAATTTTGACCCTTTTTCTTTTCTTTACTGTTTAAAAATTGAAACGTAGTAGTGTTATCTCACCCACTGCAAATATCGATAAACAAAAAGTCTCAATCTTTGGGTGTAAATCGAGCTTATTTTGTCTCTTTCTGGGTCCCCACTCCCTCTGAAATCTGATTCTCCAGTATCCATCCACCAGACCACCATCCCATTGGTTCAAAGTTCAAACTCGAAACCCAATGAGAGACTCTCCTGTTTGAAGAACCCAGATTTGTACCCCAATGTCTGATGAGATCTTGTTTCTTGAAAACACAGGATGCTGTAATCCTACTACTGCTAAGCTTGTTCATGCTCTGCATTCCAACATTGAGGACATCAATAATGGCTCAGTTCTACCTCGGCTAAATGGTGTTTTTGTTTCAGATTATGGTAAGTCTCAACACAACTTTGCTTCCACCTTTTAGCCCACTCATGTTTATGGAAGGAAGCTAACTGTGAACAATTTCCAATTTTACCCAGAAATGTTGATTGCAAGAAGGAATGCTGCAGTGCTAGCCCAGCAGCGGAGGAATTTCCGGCAAGAACTTGCCATTAGCCATGAAGTATGTCTGCCCCAGGAATGGACTTATTGACATTGCAGAGTTTCTTCAAGGATTGTCTCTCATGATTTCATATAAAAAAAATGGTGTTTTTTGAGCTTAGGAGAAGGGTAGTTGTTAGGTAAGTCCAATAATAGATGCAAAAACCCAAAAAAAAAAAAGAAAAAAAAATCAAATGGGTTCAACTCCAGCTTTTCAAAAGTTAAGGCCCCAGGAAGAAGAAGAAGCAATAAGTATTATTATTATTATTTCTTTGTTTTTTTTTTTCTTAAGGTTTCAGAAACATATTCTGAAATGTTTGCAGAAAGATAGTTACTAGCTAGAAGGTAGTAGAAGAAGAAGATGGGATTTGATTTATTTTTCTTCTTTTTTTGGTTAAATAAAGTTTAATAATTATTATTATTAGCATAAATATCTGGTGTTAAGATTATTTTGGGTGTTGGGTGGTGTGATCTCTGCAGACAAGACAAGCAGACAACATAGTATTATGGTTTCATTATTAATTAATGTAAAATAAGAAATGGGGTGTGTTTAATTAGTTTCTTCTATAATCTCTTCTGCAGAGTGCAGATGAGAAGCATTGAATATGTACATGTTTCTTCTGTGTGTTTGTTTAATTGCCTTTACCAAACTCTCTTACTTCTGCCTTTAAAGTCTCTCTGCGTCTTCTTGGTTTGAGCATTAATGGCCGCGACGCCATACTAGTTCTGGAAAGGGACAACTATACAACATTAAACTATTTTGGTCTCACCGGATAATACCATGTTTCTAACAATATAAAATACCAAGATTAAGTTTGTTGTCTAAATCATGCCAACCAAAACACATTACTCTTCAACTACAAATGAAAATGCAATTAAAGTCATTAAATTCAAAATCATAAAATTGAATCAAAAAATGACTTGTTTACCTATTCTGGGGCTATCATATTAAAGTAATAATTTTTGGTTCAATTGTATTCACGTCAGCAAATTAACAGGTAAAGATGTCACTTTTGATAAATTGCATCATTTTGCGTTGTTTAGAGACCTAATTGCATGTTTTTTTTTGTTTAATTTAAATGGACTAATTGCATTTTCGTGTGTAATTCAATGACATATTTGACCCTTATTCCAAATGAAAACACTCGGGGGTGTTTGGTAAATAGCTGATAGTTGTTAAGTGATTGAGTTAGTAGGTTTTACTAATTGATAACATTAGTTGATTGTAGAAAGATGTTTGGTAAATTAGCTGTTTGGTACATTAGTGTTTTGGAACAATAAGTTATTACAAGAAGTTAATTAATCAAACACTCATATTGATTATTTAATCAAGTCAAACAAGTCAAAATTAACTAATAGGCTAACTATTTTACCAAACATGGTCTAAATATATCCTGGATTACAAGTATTATTATTATTATTATTATTTAAAAAATGTTAAATATTCTCTAATGCTAACAAATATTTGAATTGCGGGGTTAACTTAGTTTATTTGTCTAATTACTTTAAAGTCTCCAACGATGATATGGGGGCTCAAATCCTATTACTTTTCCTTTCGTCACCTAAAAATTTAAATTCGAAACCAGAGTTATACTTACTAGGATTACACTTGTCATTTTTCTTTTAATTATTTGTATTTGTTGAACTTTCTTTGAGAATTTAAAAGTTAGTTGATTTGGGATGGACATGGATTGAAATTTGAAAAGGCGGTGGAGCAAACTCATACTGACATGGCTTTGGAATATTTGTCATAATGATAGCGACAATAATGCTATAATTATGCGCCATTTTTGTTTAAAAAAAGGGAGATTAATATAGATTTTGGAGAATTAGTAGAATACTTTATATTTTAAGAATTCTTCAACCGTCGTATATGAATATATGATATTATAATACATACATTAAAAAGGAAAAAAAATAAAAATTATTGTATTGCTTTTAGTATATTATTACTTTGAATTATGTTTGGATGTTGAGTAATAATGAGTATAGACGTGTAGGTGTTCGGTGGCTAACATTTTCATTCATTTAATGATCCAAATCCCTACATATAAAATACAATGATCAAATTAGCTCCAATTTTATCCTAATGAGAATATATTGGTAAATGGTTGTTAGTTGATTGGATTAATGTGTTACTTGATTGGATTAGTGATTTGACTAATTGTTATAGTATTAGTTAATGGTAAAAAAGTACCAGGATTATGTGGTCTAATGGTACCCGAGTTGGACTTCCATTTGGAAGGTTGTGAGTTTGAGCCTCAGTGGAGGTTGAGAAAGTATATGAACAGATACTACAAAATAAAAAGTGTTTGGTAAATTAACTGTTCACTGATTATATACAAAATAAAAAGTGTTTGGTAAATAAAAAAACTGATCGAAAAAACTACTTTGACTAACTTTTTTTTAAAACATTAATAAAAAGTGTTTGGTAAATTAACTGTTCACTGATTATATACAAAATAAAAAGTGTTTGGTAAATAAAAAAACTGATCGAAAAAACTACTTTGACTAACTTTTTTTTAAAACATTTTGGAACAAGTTGTTACAAAAAGATAAACGACTAATAGAGGTCCTTTCAGATTACTCAAAAAATTGTATTTATTTATTTTTGGGGTAAAAATTAAGGTGGTCTGGGTCTTTCACTGCCCGTCTAATGGACAATACCACCCTACTAAGGATAATTCTTTCCAAAAAAAAAAAAGAGCTCATTTGCCATTTAAGCTACCTTATTGGATTAAAAATTGTATATAATGATGATTTGTTTTAAACAAACCTTAGCACAGTTATACAAACAAACACTTATCAAACATTTTCACACTTTGAAAACTTGTTTCTCCCCAAATAATAAAATGAAGACCAATTAATCATCTCTTGTCAATCCAACCTGATGGGACTATCCTAAAAGCCCAAAACATTTCCTGGTCAAAACCGCTCATCACCTCGACCTATATTGATCCAACTTGAGCTATATATGCTTTTGTTTTATTCCGGTTCTCTATCAACTTATTCCATCTTTAATGAAAAATTTGCCGCTTTTAGGGTTTGTTTATGTTGTAACTACTATTATAACAACTAGTATTTGCGCCCGTGCGTTGCACGGAATGAATTTGTTATAAAATTTTAAAAATATTTATATCGATATACAATTGTATAAATTATAAAATCGAATATTATATAATATAATTGAAGAATTTAGTTGCACTGATTATGTTTTCTGATGTTATCAATGCTTGAATTCGAATAAATAATTGCCCAATTAATAGCTAACATGTAGATATACGCATTCGGTGTTGCAACTTTAGAGATTTTATATATCAGTGTTTATAATTTGTATTAATTGGGCTAATTAGCTCGTTGTCTAGCAACTCAGTTATATAAATTATTTATACGGAAGATATATTTTCTATGTAGATCAGCTATATAGCAATTTTGTCATTTTTGTATGTAAAAAAAACATAATATCAATGGCTTAAATTATACATTATTGAAAATCTCTTTATAGCTAGACGACATTGGTAGTAGTAACGGAATTTTATCCATCATCGTCTAAAGTTAAAACTATCAGACTATCAGGATGGGTGATTCGGAAAAAAGTAACATACAATTAACTGTGATTAAAGACTGATTTTTTCAGTAATAACTCAAATATTATATAGTGCAATTAAAGATATGGTTTCGCCCGTGAATTTGTTGTAATATATTAAGAATATCTGGATTGATATATAATTATTTAAATTAGAACATTAAATATTATATAGTGCAATTGAAGATATAGTTTGGATCGTTTATATGTTTTGATGTTATCGTTGTTTGAATTTAAACAAAGAATTGCTCAAATTAATAGCTAATGTGTAGATATACGCATGCAGTGTTGTAACTTTGAAGCTTTTATTTATCATTGTTTAGTATTTTTATAAATTAGGCAAACGTGCTCATTCTTTAGCAACTCAGTTATAGGAATGAATTGCTATCCTAATTCATTTGTATGAAAAATATTTTTTTTTTGTCTAAATTTCTTTAAATTTTTTTTTTTTGTGTGTAGATAAATAGCAATTTTGTCATTAAAAAAAAACATAATATCACCAATTGTATTTACACATTATTAAAATCTCATATTGTAGACGACATTGGTAGTAGCAACATAATCTTGTCCGTCATCGTCTATAGCTAACATCTTCAGTCCATTAGAATGGGTGACTCGGGTGAAAATATATTATCGTAAAATATCAGTCAATTAGTAATATCATATTCATTTTCAACTAATTATTCTTTTTATTTTCCGTCGACTAATCAATTAGAATATCATATGCAATGGTATTTTTACCTAATTTCAGTTTTATTTTTAATTGGTGATGTAGAATATTATTATTGAAATATTTCAGTTCAATTTTTAATTTACCTTTACTATTGTTTAAAATATGCCTTTACTATTGATGATGTAGAATATTATTATTGAAATATTATCTTTTAATTTTTAATTTACTTTTACTTGATGATGTAGAATATTATTATTGAAATATTTTCGTTCTATTTTTAATTTCTGTTCTTTTGTTTTAAATTTTGAAAGATTTATTGTGATATAATTGGTTCACATATTTCAATTATTTATTTTTTCTTTAATTATTATAAACAGAAACGATATTGTACTAATTAATTTATGATATTTATCAAATTGTATTTTTTAAAAATATAAGATTTACACATATTATGAGGGGTTAAAAAAATATTTTAAAATGATTTTTTATTAGTATGAATTTTTATTTTAAAATATTTTATAGCAATCCAAACACTCCATTAGCCTCCCATACAAAAACTGATAAAAGAAAAGTCATTTCATTAAGAAAATTAAAATTAATTAAAGTAAATCAAATCATGCTATATTTATTTGTAACTGTATATTAATTTCATTTTGAAATCATTGGTTCACATATATGAATTTTTTTTAATTATTATAATTTATAAACAGAAATGATATTCTACTAATTAATTTATAATATTTATCAAATTGTAATTTTAAAAAATATAAGATTTACACATGTTATTGGGGGGAAGGGGAGGGGGGTAAAAAATATTTTAATTTTTTTTATTAGTAAGTATTCAAAAAATAATAATAATTTCCAGCAACTCAAACACTCCCTTAGTCTCCCACAAAAAAACTGATAAAGAAATTCATATCATTAAGGGAATTAAAACTGATTAAAGTAAATCTAATCATGCAATATTTATTTGTAACTGTATATTAGTTTCATTTTGAAATCATTGGTTCATATATTTGAAATTATTTATTTTTTCTTTAATTGTTATAAATATAAATGATATTGTACTAATTAATTTATGATATTTATGAAATTGTATTTTTTTTTAAATGTAGTATTTTACCCGTGTGTTGCACGATTTTTTTTGTTTTTTTTTTTGTTTTTATGAATTTAAAATTAAAATAAAAAATAAAAAATGTTAAAATGTAAAATATAATAATATAGTTGGACTTTTATATATTTGGTCAAGTATCTATTTTCATAACATACAAAATTTAAATTTAAATTTTGTATGGTTAATATAATCTCTAATCATGTACATATTTAGATAAATTTATAGAAAAAATTTATATAATTAAGTTGATTTATTCCAAATTG